TGCGGAGTGCTCGGAGCGGGCTGGCGGCGGAGGGCGCGGTTGGCGTTTTCAATCGGGAGGGAGTCGCAGTCTCTGAGCTCCAGATCCGGGCGAGTCTTTAGGGACCCAGACTCAAACAGGAGAAGCGGGACTGTCTGGCTTCGGTCAGAGCGAGTGCAGCTTTCTCTCTGAACTTTGCAGTGGGTGCTGGGACTCAGAGAGGCAGAGCCCCTGGGGACAGGACTGAGAGCCGCCATAACTGCTCTCTCTGGCCCACCCTGTTGATCCTGTTCGACCCGCCCGCCCAAGCCCTGCACAGAGGCTTTTGCCGGATAGCCTCAGGCAAAGGCTAGATTAGCACCTCCCTAGAGGACAGAAGTTCTCTCACTGCTGACACAGCTGATTCTCATAGCCACTTGGCCTGGAGGTCAAACCCTCCCTGGAATTAGCTACAACAATCAAGATTTAACTATAAGACTTCGAACAAAGACCACTAGGGGGTGCACCAAGAAAGCATAACAAAATGCGGAGACAAAGAAACAGGACAAAATTGTCAATGGAAGATATAGAGTTCAGAACCACACTTTTAAGGTCTCTCAAGAACTGTTTAGAAGCCGCCGATAAATGTAGTGAGATCCTCAAGAAATCTAATGAGACCCTCGATGTTATGATAAAGAACCAACTAGAAATTAAGCATACACGGACTGAAATAACGAATATTATACAGACTCCCGACAGCAGACCAGAGGAGCGCAAGAATCAAGTCAATGATTTGAAATGCGAGGAAGCAAAAAACACCCAACCGGAAAAGCAAAATGAAAAAAGAATCCAAAAATGCGAGGATAGTGTAAGGAGCCTCTGGGACAGCTTCAAGCGTACCAACATCAGAATTATAGGGGTGCCAGAAGATGAGAGAGAGCAAGATATTGAAAACCTATTTGAAGAAATAATGACAGAAAACTTCCCCCACCTGGTGAAAGAAATGGACTTACAGGTCCAAGAAGCGCGGAGAACCCCAAACAAAAGGAATCCAAAGAGGACCACACCAAGACACATCATCATTAAAATGCCAAGAGCAAAAGATAAAGAGAGAATCTTAAAAACAGCAAGAGAAAGAAACTCAGTTACCTACAAGGGAATACCCATACGACTGTCAGCTGATTTCTCAACAGAAACTTTGCAGGCCAGAAGGGAGTGGCAAGAAATATTCAAAGTGATGAATACCAAGAACCTACAACCAAGATTACTTTATCCAGCAAAGCTATCATTCCGAATTGAAGGTCAGATAAAGAGCTTCACAGATAAGGAAAAGCTAAAGGACTTCATCACCACCAAACCAGGATTATATGAAATGCTGAAAGGTATCCTTTAAGAAGAGGAAGAGGAAGTAAAAGATAAAGATACAAATTATGAACAACAAATATGCATCTATCAACAAGTGAATCTAAGAATCAAGTGAATAAATAATCTGATGAACAGAATGAACTGGTGATTATAATAGAATCAGGGACATAGAAAGGGAATGGACTGACTATTCCTGGGGGGGAAAAGGGGTGTGGGAGATGCGGGAAGAGACTGGACAAAAATCGTGCACCTATGGATGAGGACAGTGGGTGGGGAGTGAGGGCGGAGGGTGGGGCGGGAACTGGGAGGAGGGGAGTTATGGGGGGGAAAAAAAAGAGGAACAAATGTAATAATCTGAACAATAAAGATTTAATTAAAAAAAAAAATGCCCATACTACCCAAAGCAATCTATAAATTCAACGCACTTCCCATTAAAATACCAACGGCATACTTCAGAGATCTAGAAGGAACTCTCCAAAAATTCATCTGGAATAAAAAAAGACCCCGAATAGCTGCAGCAATCCTGAAAAAGACCAAAGTAGGTGGGATCTCAATACCAGATATCAAGTTGTATTACAAAGCCACTGTTCTCAAAACTGCCTGGTACTGGCACAAGAATAGGCATATAGATCAATGGAATAGAATAGAGAGCCCAGAAATCGGCCCGAACCAATATGCTCAATTAATATTTGACAAAGGAGGCAAGAACATACAATGGAGCCAAGATAGTCTCTTCAATAAATGGTGTTGGGAAAATTGGACAGATATATGCAATAAAATGAAACTAGACCACCAACTTACACCATACACAAAAATAAACTCAAAATGGATAAAGGACTTAAATGTACGACAGGAAACCATAAAAATTCTAGAAGAATCCAAAGGCAACACAATCTCAGACATATGCCGAAGCAATTTCTTCACTGATACAGCTCCTAGGGCACTTGAAACGAAAGAGAAAATGAACAAATGGGACTACACCAAAATAAAAAGCTTCTGCACAGCAAAAGAAACCATCAACAAAACAACGAGAAAACCCACTGTGTGGGAAAACATATTTGCCAATGTCATATCTGATAAGGGCCTAATCTCCAAAATTTATAGGGAACTCATACAACTTAACAAAAGGAAGATAAACAATCCAATCAAAAAATGGGCAAAGGACCTAAATAGACACCTTTCAAAAGAGGACATTCAGAAAGCCAAGAGACATATGAAAACATGCTCAAAGTCACCAATCATCCGAGAGATGCAAATCAAAACAACAATGAGGTACCATCTCACACCTGTCAGACTGGCTATCATCAACAAATCAACAAACAACAAGTGCTGGAGAGGATGTGGAGAAAAAGGAACACTTGTGCACTGCTGGTGGGAATGCAGACTGGTGCAGCCACTATGGAAGACAGTATGGAGTTTCCTTAAAAAACTGAAAATGGAACTCCCATTTGACCCTGTGATCACACTTCTAGGAATATATCCCAAGAAACCAGAAACACCAATCAGAAAGGATATATGCACCCCTATGTTCATAGCAGCACAATTCACCATAGCTAAGATCTGGAAACAGCCTAAGTGCCCATCAGTAGATGAATGGATTAGAAAACTGTGGTACATCTACACGATGGAATACTATGCTGCTCTAAAAAGGAAGGAACTCTTACCATTTGCAACGTCATGGATGGAACTGGAGAGCATTATGCAAAGTGAAATAAGCCAGTCAATGAAGGAAAAATACCACATGATCTCACTCATTCATGGATAATAGAGGCCATTATAACCTTTTGAACAATAATAGATACAGAGGCAGAGCTGCCTCAAACAGATTGTCAAACTGCAGCGGGAAGGCCGGGGAGGGTTGGGGGGCAGGAGGTAGGGGGGTAAGAGATCAACTAAAGGACTTGTATGCATGCATATAAGCATAACCAATGGACATAAGACACTGGGGGATAGGGGAGGCTAGGGGACTGTCTAGGGCGGGGGGATAAAATGGACACATATGTAATACCCTTTGTAATACTTTAAGCAATAAATAAAAAAAATTAAAATTAAAAAAAATATATAGTCTCAAACTTAAAAATTAAAAACAGCATAAATATCCACCAAGTGACATGTGGATAAATTGTAACACATGTTGTAAAATGGAATACTACTAAGCAATAAAAAGGAATGGCCTTCCTATTCATCCAACCACATGAATGGATCTCAAGTGCATTATGCTAAGTGAAAAAAGCCAGACTCAGAAGATCCATAATTCATGATTCCATTTGTGTAACACCGAAAAGGGCAAAAATAGGAACAAAAAATAGATTAGTGATTGCTAGAGTCAAGAGGGTAAGAGGAGTAGGAGATCAACAAAAGGGCACAGGAAATTTGGGGTGTGATGGACATATTCCAGACCTTGTTGTGGTGGTGATTATATGACACTGTGCATTGGTCAAAATTCATAGAATTGCACACTTTTTAAAAAGGTGAGTTTTACTGTACATAAATTATTACCTCAATAAACATGACTTTTAAAAAATGGACACAGGTTCTGTCCTCAATAAGTCTAATGGTTGATGGGAAAGCCTGCGTAAAAACAAATGCAGTGGTTTAATGAGTAAGAAACTTTAAATATAATTGTTACAGATGCAAAGTCAGTAGGAATGGTTCTAGGTTTACTCTAATGAAGGGAAAAGTGAGCATTGTTAGAAACAGACATGGGAACAGCAAACAAAGTTTGGGAAAATTAAAGGAGAAATAAGTTAATGAAGTTTTAAATATCACATGAATTGGCTTATTTATTTCTCATGAAGAAATGGTATAACTCAGCAAGCCATAAAAGAGGAGAAGGGAAATTTGGTAAAAGCATTTAAACACACACACACACACACACACACACCCCAAATGTGAAAGACCTTTAAACTAAGAGTAGTTTAAATCTACCTTTGAGGCAGATGTGGGGTGTTGTCTCCTGTTGAGTCCCCAAGTCCACACATTTTCTGAAATCTCCATAAGAATATCTAGACTTTCATTCTGAGACTTACTCCCATCTCAGTTATCTTTGATAGTAAACAAACCAGGGCACCAAGTAAAATATGATGATTATATCACAGCTATTTTCTAAATAATTAAATGCCACAGTTCAGGGGTAGGTAATGAACAAACTTGGTAAAGAAGGGTCCAGCCGTGGGCAAACTACGGCCCGTGGGCCGGATCCGGCCCGTTTGAAATGAATAAAACTAAAAAAAAAAAAAAAAAGACCGTACCCTTTTATGTAATGATGTTTACTTTGAATTTATATTAGTCCACACAAACACTCCATCCATGCTTTTGTTCCGGCCCTCCGGTCCAGTTTAAGAACCCATTGTGGCCCTTGAGTCAAAAAGTTTGCCCACCCCTGGACTGTAGACTATACATTTTCTATAGCTGTTTGAGGGCAAATACTTACTGATATCCAATCAGCACAGTGCCTAGCTCAGTAGTCTCTTACATAGGATATGGCCAATAATATGTTGATTTAATTTAATATTGATTTTGGATATCAGCCCCCAGAATAATAAGGAAAAAATGGCTTCTATTAAATCTCAAACTTTTGATCATGAATTAGCTTTCTTCTGAAAGTCATAATTTGTTTTGTCTCAATTTCATAAATCATTCTTTATAACTTTTGATTTATACCCTTTGTTTTAAAGGAGAAGATTGTGGAAATTAAAAAGCAACTAGGAGAAATGGATAACAAATTTGTCCAGGTAATAATAAAAATGGCTTTATAATTGAGGAAGAAAAACAGTTCTTCAAAGAAATCTCAGATTTAGAGAATATTAGTGATGGAATCTAAAATTTGATAAAAGATAGAATTTTAAACCTAGAAGGGAACTTAGGGTCTTATAATCTATGCCCTCATTTTCAGAAGAGAAAAGCATGACTTAGGAATATGAAGTGATCTGCCTATATTTCCAGATGAAAAGAATCAGTCTTGTTCTTGCTCTCCCATAAATGAATATATGTATATATTCATATGTATGTATATATTTTAAATATATGTATATATTTTGAATATATGTATATGTTGATGTAATGTATATATTTTGAATATATATGAATATATGTATTTATTTTAATATGTACATGTATTTATATATCTAAATATACCAAAATATTTATATTTAAATGTATATATTTTTCTCTTAACAAAATTAATACATGGTTACTTTAATAAGTAAAACATTATAGAAATTTTTGATATTACATATGAAAAATCCTACTCACTCAACAATAAACATGGTGAACATTATTTTTTTAATTCTCACCCGAGGACATGTTCTTTGCTTGTCTTGGCAAGGGCTTCTTTAATAACCAATTTCTATTTTTAAATAAATAAATAAATAAATAAATAAATTTTAAAATTGAATTTATTGGGGTGACATTGGTTAATAAAATTATACAGGTTTCAAGTGTACAATTCTACAATATATCATCTGCATATTGTATGGTGTGTTTACCACTCCAAGTCAATAAATTTCTAGAAATGGCATCTCTATCTAGAACCCATCTTCCTTGAATCCCAAAATACTATTCTTCCTGCTATAGCTCTGCTCTTCAAGTCATGCTGCAAATCTATTATGGGATGATTATTTAAAATCTTTAAAATGTTTTACTCCTGACGTATGTGCAATTGGCATTTATGTCTTAGAAGGTGATGGTTTGCTTTCGGCTTGTGTCTTGATCTTACGATAGAAGCCAACCAGAGCCGTCTGTTACCTCTACCTGGCAACCTCTAGGAGACATGGAAGGGAAAGAGGAAACACAGGTTTTATGGTTCTTTTGCTAAACCATAAGGCCCAAATATTCAACTAACATAATGAGGACTTAACATGTATATAGTATAAATTTTTAAATATTTAAAATTCATATAATTTTCTTTTTTTCCTCATAATTACACTATGTTTCTCTAACTAGTGTCCTGGTGGATGGTTTTTAAGGAGCAAGGGAAGAGCAATAAGAAAAAAGACGATTTATTTTAAGCAGTTGTTAATATAAATTTACACTTCTAAAACATTAAAAATAATTGTATTAATCTTTTGGTTATTCCTCCTGCAATTTATCATGATTACACTGTGTCTTTACTCCAGGGACCAAGGATTTTACTGAGTAAAAATAAATTTTGTTAAAGCTACTTTATAATTAAGTGGCATCAAAATGAGTCAGACTTTATTGTAGAATAAATATAATTTCTATTTTACCCCAAATTATGGGTGTCTTTTCAGGCTGATGCTTGTAATGAAGCTCATGAATTAAAGGAGAAACTCGTTGCAAAAATAGAGGTAAGATTTTACTGTTACATTAGTTCAAATAATGGTAAGATAAAATGAATCAAATATAAGTACAGAGGCAATCCTTTCCCTAGAAGTGGAGAATGTACTGCATACTGATCTCTCTCTACCCTTACTGCTGTCCTCTTCCCCTCCTAGCCTTCTGCTTTGGGCCAACAGAACATCTCGCACCCCTGGGCTGCTTCCACGTCTCCTCCATCTGGAGCTTACCCTCTATGTATACATATTACCCATTCTTCAAGGCTCAGCTCACATGTCATCTCTTTTAGACCCTCCCTAATCTTCCTTACCCAGAAAAATGACTCAATATTGAACTCCTCCCACAAGATCTTATACAGTGAGGTAAGTGTGAATGAATGGGTGAATGAAACAATGAATAAATGAACCAACCTATCACCTGCTCAGAGGTACCTGATGACCCCACTTTCTAGAGTAGGTGCCCACCACCAAGACTTAACTACTCTGTCCCATCACCTAGTTTATTTTGTCTTTGGCATGTATCTTAATCTATAACGTCTAATGTGTATATGTGTGTAGCATGTAATTCTTTGTCTAATTTGCTTTAAAAAGCCTCCATGCAATACAATGCACATTCCTTGTCTATTTTGTTAGCCACTGCATCCTAGAACAGTGCCTGGTAGGAATCACCAAAAAAAATGTGTCCTACATAGATGAACAAATTGGATAGATAAATTCAGTACAAGGATAATTATCTTTCTACATGAATAGTCCAGCAAAGATCAACATGTGGGTTTTGTTTAATTTTATACCCATGGTGCTAACTTACTCTGTGATAGTGTCTCTTTCTAATAGGTGAGAATGTCTGCCAATGACCTCCTCAAGTGATTCAATGTGGACCCCTGAGGTGTTCTGGGAGAAAAGCACTCTGCATCATCTAGAATAAGACTGGCAGATACCTAGAATCATTTTTTAAAATATATTTTTATTGATTTCAGAGAGGACGGGAGAGGGAAAGAGAGATAGAAACATCAATGATGAGAGAGAATCATTTATTGGCCCACACTGAAGATCAACCCGCAACCCGGGCATGTGCCCTGACCGGAATCAAACAGTGACTTCCTGGTTCATAGGTTGATGCTCAACCACTGAGCAACACTGGCCAGGCTGGAATCATTTAAAAAAAAATGATAGTTGATTGTTCTTCTTTCCAGAACTTCTGCAAGGACATGACTGTGATGAGTAAAAGACTGGGGATGTACCCAATGAGAGAAGAGCACACAGACTCTTGGAGTCCTGAAGACACGGGTAGGGAAGAAATGGAGCATCTGCTTCTTCAGGCTCCCCTGACCCCTTCAGTGCAGAACTCCCCTCCTCGCAGTACCTTGTGGTGAGTCAGAGAAAGGAGCTGTGGGGGCTGGACAGGCCCTCGTGTGTATGAACAATAGTAAGATTAAGCTTCAAGTGTTAATTAAGTGTTGTTTCGTCTCCTTTTATAAATTATTTCTGTTCTTTAAAAGTCATAGTATTTTGATTTTTAGATATAGATCAATTGCATTAGATACACACACACACGTATATTTCTTATTGCTTTAGATAACTATATGTATAAAATCTTAAAGGATGGTGTCTGCAGAGTGTGATGCAGCCACCTCCACCAGAGAAGCATGCCTGCTAAGCAGATTTGAAAACCTCTGCATGCTGAACAGGATGCCTCTCCCGTGTACAGTACTGAAGACATACATAATGGCAAATTCTGACTCCTTGAACTTCTTCCTAGAGATGCCACACCATCACATATACCTTGAGCATATATACTTTTTAAAAAATATATATGATGAACGTCTTTTATATTTCAAGTCCCCAAATGATCAAGATTTCTGCCTTTAGTAGCCCATGGAGTATTAGGAGACAGATTTAAAATAATTTAATGGCAATAATATGCTGTGGGCCCTATCTCAGGATTACATGCAAGGTACAGTGCACACAAAAGAGGGAGCTGAAGATTCTTCTGGTTTGGTGGTTGGGGATAAAGAATCAGATGTAGAATCTGACCAGTGTGGCTCAGTGGTTGAGCATTGACCTAAGAACCAAGAGGTCATGGTTCAATTCCCAGTCAGGGCACATGCCCGGGTTGCAGGCTTGCTCTTCAGTGTGGGGCGTGCAGGAGGCAGCTGATTGGTGATTCTCTCTCATCATTGATGTTCCTATCTCTCTGTCTCTCTCCCTTCCTCTCTGAAATCAATAAAAACATTTTTTAAAAAGATAGTCATCATGTTCAACAAAAATTAGTTAAGTGAGGAGTCATGTCAACGAAAATGGTGGAATAAAGACTCCCCACATTTCCTCCTCTATAAAGTCAACAAGAGAGCTGGAAAAAAATGGTCAGAACAGTTTTTTGCAGAAACCTGTAAATTAAGGATCCCAGTATCCAGAATATATAAAGTACTCTTACAATCCAAAAACAAAAAGACAAACAACCTGATTTTCTAAATGAACAAAGGAGTTGAATGGGCATTTCTTCAAAGAAGATACACAAATGGCCAACAAGCACATAAAAAGATGTTCAACATCATTGGTCATTTGGGAAATGCAAACAAAAATCACAAGACACCTCTTTACTACACCACCAAGTTAAGTATAGTTAAAAAGACAGACAATAACAAGCATGTGGAGAATTTAAAACCCTTAGGTATTACTAGTGGGATTGTAAAATGGTGCAGTCACTTTGGAAACAACTTGGCAGTTCCTAAAAATGTGAACGGAGCTACCATATGACCCACTCCTAGGTATGCACCCAAAAGAACTGAATATATATGCTCACAAAACACCTGTACATGAATGCTCACAGCAGCGTTTTCATAATAGTTAACAAGTAGAAACAATACAAATATTCAGTAATCAATGAATAGGTAAATAAAATGTGGAATTTTTCAGCCACAAAAGAGAATAAACTACGATAGTTGCTATAACATAGATGACCCTTGAAAATGTTATGCTAAGTGAAAGAAGTCAGACACAAAAGGACACACACTATATGATTCTATTCATATGAAATGTTCAAAATAGGAAAATCCATATAAATAGAACATAGATTAGTGGTTGGCAGGCCTGGGGGTAATGGGAAATAGAAAGCAACTGTTCATGGGTACAGGTTTTCTTTTTGGGGTGATAAAAACACCCTGAAATTACATAGTAGTGATGGTTGAACAAGCTTATGAATAAACTAAAAGCCATGGAATTGTTCTCTTTAATAAATGTGTGAAGCAATTATTTGTAGAACTACCAAGAGATAGCCAGTGGTGATAATGCTGAGAAACTTGACTCAGATTTACAGAATCCACTGAGTGAGGTCACAAAATAGACCCATAGTTAGCTTGAACTGCGCGCTAGAGTTTCTCTTCTGAAATGTATTACAGATGGTGATTACCTTCAGGTAACTGGCTAATCTGTGACATTTCTTTTCTTCTTGGTGTTTTTCTGGCTTTCCCAGATCTTCTACCCTAATCATGTATTGTATTTATAATTAGTAAATAATAATGCAAGGAGTGAAAAGCAAATAAATAAACTACATCATAGTTACAGCCCAGGAGGAGGAGTCCTCAGACTTGGCAAAGCTTCTATTACTTTACAAGGATAATTCTGATGCCAGGACAAAAATGGCGACAGAGAGGCCTGAGTTCCATTTGCCACATTGTATTTTGTGTCCTAAGGAAACTCTAACTGCCCCGTGCCTTTAGTTTCTCCCAAATAGGCATCATATAAACCTCATAAATGAGGTAAAGATGGCAATCATCTATGAGAAGACCATTTCAGAGGAAAGAATCTCACATTATAGAGGGTTTCATTGTTTCATGACTATGGAATGTTAGGATTCCAGTATCAGTCCTAAAATGAACTTAAGTGCTCAACTATTTTGCAGATGTCAACTGAAGTCAAGAGAATTTCAGTTACTTACTCGAAGCTATAGAGCTCCCTGGGTGGAGGAGACAGGAGTCACATCAGTGTGGTTTTCTTCAGAATGTTCTTAACATGTTTTCTTTCCTTGTAGGAAACGGGCACTGAGGATTTTCATCATATTTTATGCCCTCACCTTCACTGTACTTTCATGTTACATATTATTTTTTGATGCCACGTTTATCTTTGAAAGCGTGCTCCCTACAATGCTTGGGCGCCGCAGAACGTGGGAACTACGGGAGATTATTGTGCCTTTCTTAAATTTGGAAGTGGAAGACTTGTTACCCTCCTAAAGATACACAAATTGCTGTTACACTACTGACTTTCTCCCCAATAAAATTCTGGCTGTTCTTGTGTTATGGTGGTTAACCTATTTTTAAAAAAATACTATAGCAGTGGTTCTCAACCTTCTGGCCCTTTAAATACAGTTCCTCATGTTGTGACCCAACCATAAAATTATTTTCGTTGCTACTTCATAACTGTAATGTCGCTACTGTTATGAATCGTCATGTAAATATCTGATATGCAGGATGGTCTTAGGCGACCCCTGTGAAAGGGTCGTTCGACCGCCAAAGGGGTCGCGACCCACAGGTTGAGAACCGCTGCTATAGGGTGTTTGGCAAAGGACATGGTAGTCATGTAGCAATTGGTTGATCACAGACAGAAAAAAACCCGGAAGCAGTTTATCTCTACCCTTAAACACACAATGATTCCTCAAATCATTCCACACATTGATTAAAACACTTACTTCAAACCACTAACCTCTTTCATCCTCCAGCAGTGAGGACACCGAGACTACCCAGTATTAGCTACCTCGGTTATTTCACCCGTCTGACCTCTGATGTCTCAGAAAGGAAAGCGCAGAATTCCTCTCCATTGTTTCCCATTTTACTTAAATTGGGTGGGAGCCATACTTTGGGTGTATGGACATTATTTAGTTTTGCTCCCTAACATTCATTTATGGTTTTGGTAACAGCGCCCTCATTTTACTTTGAAAGAAGTATCTTTCCTTAGTGAACATAATTCTAGGTGGTCTTTCAGTCAATGTCTCCCGTTGCCCTATTAAGAAGAGTTGGAAATATGTTGAATCATAAAATCTCTAAGAATGAGAATCTTGAGAATCATACAAAGAAGGGAAATGATTGGAACTTAAATTTGGTGAACTAGTCCATATCTTTTCCTGCTTAAGCTAGCCAGAGTTGGTTTTGTTGCTTATAATCAAAGGAAGTCTAATTGATGCAGTAGTTTTAAATGTAAGACTGGAGCATTTTTAGCCCTAACTCTGTAGGTAATGAGGACATAGTAACCTTTATTTTCAATATAAAAATGCTAAATTGTTTACTGAAAACAGTAAATTGTTTCCTGTTTACAATTGAACTGTGCAAGATTAATACAACCATAAAAAATAAATTGTGGTAGGAGGGCAGATGGAGATGAAAGATCAGTTAAATGGCCATTCACTGGTCCAGATGAGCTAAAGGGGTGGGCATGGGGATGAAAAGGAGATGATGGGTGAAGAATATCTAAGGGTAGATTTTCTATTTGGTTGTGTAATGGATGTGAGATTGGACGAGTGGTGACAGGGAAATTATGGAACACCGTTCCAATTCTCACATTTGAAGGATGGATAATAATTTCATGGCAGAGAGGAGGAAAAGGCATTTCAGAGAAAAGACACATCATGAATAAAACAGAAGCCATGAATATAAGGCAGTCAAGAAAGTTGGTGGAGCATATTGCTCAATATACCACTTTGTACATCCCTTAAAAACAAACACTGTGCCCCATTCATTTTTTGGTCTCTGGTATAAGGGATTCCCAAATAGTGGTCCTTTGATTACATGCATCAGAATCACTTGGGAGCTTTATACATTAGGGATTTCTGACTCCAATCCCAGATATTTAGATCCAACAGCGCTAGTATGAGGTCCATGAATTTTTTTTTTTTAAAAAGTCTCCCCATCTGAATCTAATACAAATGCAAATTTTGGCACCACGTCTTAGTACATTTTAGGACAATGCAATGCACATAACAGGTACTCAAGAAATACCTGTTGAAGTAAATTAAATTATGTGTTCTTATCTTTGTGAGCTTCCCATCACTTCATCCAGTGCTCATTCAATATTTGTTCAATAATTTCCATGATAGCCATTTTTCCAGTGCCATCTTCTCACTCCCTTGAAGTAATCTTCAATTCCTTTATGATCTTTTTATTTTAACCTTCCAGAAATAATCAGGTCTTCCAATTCTTCCACAGCAATTATTCCCATATCAGCCATTATTCTTTGTATTTATAATCTTTCCATTCTGATAGGCCTTATCATACAAATGTCTTACTGGGAAAGCCACCCTATTGTTTCAACTTTCCTAGACTTCTATCCTATATAAGAAAAGTGTAATATGCAAATTGACTGAACAGAGGAACAACCGGTCACTATGATGTACACTGACCACCAGGGGGCAGACGCTCAATGCAAGAGCTGCCCCTGGTGGTCAGTGTGCTCCCACATGGGTAGTGCTGCTCAGCCAAAAGCCAGGCTCACACTGGCGAGTGCAGCTGTGGTGGCGGAGCCTCTCCTGCCTCCACTGCAGGCGGGTGGTAAGGTGCCAGGGGTCCCAGACTGTGAGAGGGCACAGGCTGGGCTGAGGGACCCCTCTCCCAGTTCATGAATTTTGTTCACCGGGCCTCTAGTTATATATACAATTGTAGAAAAGAATCAGTGCCAAATGCCACTTGTAGCCTGATCATCTACAGCCAGGAATCTATATCCGTTGCTAGAAATGTGAAGTTTCCTTGTGAGTGGTTCTTAAGCCGGGATGTTTAACAGAATTCCACAAAGAGACATTTAATTATAATTATACATTTGCCTGCACATCTCCTCCAGAAATTTGGACTCTCTAGATCAAGGATGAGTCTCTAAAATCTTCTGTTTTAATAGTTTCCCCTGACAATGTTTATGACTCAAAGTTTAAGAACCGCTATGCAATGTAATGTGCAAAAGCTACCTGAGATTACAATTTGGCTGAGATCCCATACAAGGCTACCAAGAAGTGACTCACTTTGGAGGGGAGGAGGAGGCTGGGGGATGAGTGAGGGGATTTCCAGGACATACACAAAGGGAAAAGCCAGAGTTCTGGCAACAATGAGTAATATATTCAAAAGGTCTACTGGCAGTGAAAGGATATGCTGACAGACAGATTTTTTTAAAGTCACAGCTAGACTTGTTTACAGGTAAAGGGACAATTCAGACCAAATTTTAGGCAGAGCTGGGTGTATTTTTTAAAATCATCTTCACGATATAGAGTTCTGAACCACACTTTTAAGGTCTCTCAAGAACTGCTTAGAAGCCGCCGATAAACTTAATGAGATCTACAAGAAAACTAATGAGACCCTCGATGTTATATTGGGGAACCAACTAGAAATTAAGCATACACGGACTGAAATAACGAATATTATACAGACTCCCAACAGCAGACCAGAGGAGCGCAAGAATCAAGTCAATGATTTGAAATGCGAGGAAGCAAAAAACACCCAACCGGAAAAGCAAAATGAAAAAAGAATCCAAAAATGCAAGGATAGTGTAAGGAGCCTCTGGGACAGCTTCAAGCGTACCAACATCAGAATTATAGGGGTGCCAGAAGATGAGAGAGAGAGCAAGATATTGAAAACCTATTTGAAGAAATAATGACAGAAAACTTCCCCCACCTGGTGAAAGAAATGGACTTACAGGTCCAAGAAGCTCGGAGAACCCCAAACAAAAGGAATCCAAAGAGGACCACACCAAGACATCATAATTAAAATGCCAAGAGCAAAAGATAAAGAGAGAATCTTAAAAACAGCAAGAGAAAGAAACTCAGTTACCTACAAGGGCGTACCCATACGACTGTCAGCTGATTTCTCAACAGAAACTTTGCAGGCCAGAAGGGAGTGGCAAGAAATATTCAAAGTGATGAATACCAAGAACCTACAACCAAGATTATTTTATCCAGCAAAGCTATCATTCAGAATTGAAGGTCAGTTAAAGAGCTTCACAGATAAGGAAAAGCTAAAGGAGTTCATCACCACCAAACCAGGATTATATGAAATGCTGAAAGGTATCCTTTAAGAAGAGGAAGAGGAAGAAAAAGGTAAAGATACAAATTATGAACAACAAATATGCATCTATCAACAAGTGAATCTAAGAATCAAGTGAATAAATAATCTGATGAACAGAATGAACTGGTGATTATAATAGAATCAGGGACATAGAAAGGGAATGGACTGACTATTCTTGGGGGGGAAAGGGGTGTGGGAGATGCGGGAAGAGACTGGACAAAAATCGTGCACCTATGGATGAGGACAGTGGGTAGGGAGTGAGGGCGGAGGGTGGGGCAGGAACTGGGAGGAGGGGAGTTATGGGGGGGGGGGGAAAGAGGAACAAATGTAATAATCTGAACAATAAACATTTAATTAAAAAATAAATAAATAAAATCATCTTCAGGTATTGCTGGATACAGTATTGGCTGATTTATTTGTAAAACCAAAAAAAGAGCTATTGAGTTTAAATAGGTCAAATAAAGCTCAAAGTATTGCAATAATCATATAACACTAGGAAGTAAGGTAGGGAACCTGATTCTTTGAAAGAATACATTAATTGTTTAGTAAATTTCAAGACATATTTTATTAGGATTTTAGTTAAGACAATAATTTCCCCTGGAGAATCAATATCCTTAAAGTGGGAGTGATACTATTTTGTATCAATTTATTTTCAATTTGTAGTTTCTTGGGCTGAAAAGCTGGATATCACAATGTCCTGCTCTATTCCGAGAGGGAAACATTTAATATTAAGTTAATATACGTGTCCACATGTGGTAATTCAGCTAACTACTTTGGTTGGTCGGGTCTTTTTTCATATCTCTTAAATGCCATATTAAATTGAGACAATGGCTATATTCAACATCACTTACTAAAAATGTCAGGATCACTTTACAAATATGGTCTTGGTTTTGGACTAGGAGGAAAGAAAATGAGTGGTCACAAAAATCTCCATTTGTCATTTTTTTTTTTTGAGTGAAGACAGCTATGATGTAGTGAAAAGAGCTTTAAACTTGGATTCAAAGGTGAGTTGATCTGCTGCCAACTGTGCACTCCCAACAGGGAGCCACGCTCTCCTTCCCCAGCTGCCAATAGTGCTGACTGCTGAGAGTTCACAGCTAGATCTTCCCTTGGACCTGCTTTGGTTAAGGAGACCTGCTTCACCTAAGGTTCCTCTCCTTTCTCAGTGGTAACCTGCATTCAATGACAGATCCAGGCCAGGGTACATTTCTAAAGGGCCATCCCAGT